ACCGCGCTGGCTAATGCACGGGATCTAGCCGACTGGCTGGGCATAGGACAGGTTAGAAACCCACCACAATTCGCAACCTGCATCTATTAGCTCATCTCAAATTCCACGTACATAACCTTTTAACACCACATCCCTATCTATTACATTTGACGAAAGACTTGATATTCAAATCGCTTTTGGAATCTGTCCATAGACTCTTATACTGTATATAGACTAATTAATATTTTCAGGATCAGTGCACCTTCCTCTTCTCAGGTTTGAAGTGATTTACATATGATTCACGGCAGTTCAAATCAAGCCCAAAAAATATCTTGGCCCTCAAATGCTATATTTAATGTTGAATGTAATTGATGGGTCTTGTTTCGGTGGAATCATGCTCGACTTGCACCCATAATGATTAGGGATGAAGTCAAAAGAGTAGAATAACGATATTATCTGTAACACTGTACTAACGGTGCCGTCATGTTTCCATTACAGAACATTCATGTCAGTCGTTTTGCGTATAAATGCATACGTGTGCACATATGAGCACGCGAGGGTCTATAAATAAGCAGCACCCCTCTCCCAGCGTGTAGAAGCATGTTGGCGCTGTGGCCGCATCAGGACAGACTGCAGTGGTTATGTAAACGTTGTTTTACTATTGCTGAAATGTCACTCTGCTAGACAGACGGGGAAGGAAGGGCTGGGGCTCTCCATAAATCTGACGTGTGCTGTTTGGACTGAGGCGCGTCTCTAGCTGCCCAATCCATTATCCAGCCCTTTAAATATGTGCGCACACGCACCCAGGCCCGGGCCACTTGTGTGAGAGCGCAGTTGTGGGACAGGGGACAATGACAGGCTGTAATTACCCCCAGATGGGCCACTCTGTCAGGCACACAGCCAGCTGGGCACTCCATCTCTCGGGCCTGTTTGTCTTGCTTGTTGTTTTGTGGCCCCGTCCTTATACATCTCTGTCTGTATCTCTTTCAGGTGGGACTGTTTAATTTCCAGCCCTCTGTTCGCCCAGTGCCGTTGGAGGTTCATATCCAAGGCTTTCCGGGGCAGCATTATTGCCGTCGTATGGCCAGCATGAACAAACCAGTCTTCCAAGGTTGGCTACAAGAAGTAGTAACATGTACACGCATTAAAGGAAATGCGAATTCTGTGATCATGTACTCTTCATTTCAAGTGTTCTAAATTATAC